ATATATTTTCATTATAAATGCATTCATCAATAAATTACTCTGTACGATTTACACTGATTTAGAGCAAAAATAAGTGCTTTTGTGCATTGTTAACGACAAATAATCACCCTTCACTCCTGAAAATAACAGCTAGTGTGGATTCACTATTCTAATTTGGTGCTAACGCACTGCTTTCTTTAGCTCTATTTTAGCAAAAATCCACCGATGGCTACAAAATATGATCTAAAATTATCTCCAAACTTGTAAGACGACTTGTAAATTTACTCTCGCTACAGGCTAACAAGATCTATAAAGCGTGCTTAAAGTCTTATTTTTATTACAACCAATACACTCAATCTAATACACAAGTTTAGCCATCAAATATGTCAAAGAATTTAGATGCTTGATCATTTAAGGCATCCCAGGAGGAACGACACAGTAGTTCTGCAGTACGGATGTCGGAACAGAAATACTATGACAGTGGAGACAACATCACTGTGTTCCTGTTGTTGTTCTTGCATGTGCAGTTTCTGACTGGTAATTTAAAATGTTTTCACCATCACCAAAGAATGAACTTCCTAAAAAACTAAATTCAGCTTCCCCCTAAATTTCTTTCCGTTTCCAGACGTTTCTCTGATGACACACATGATCAGTGTTACAGAGCCGTACCGCCAGATATACAAGTGTAGCTTGATGTAGATGATTTTAGACAGTGTATAAAAGATGTAACAGTAAAACCTGAGATGAGAAGCTCCAGAGGATGTCTATTAATGTGCAAAAGCTAAACAGGTCATAAAAGATGTATATTTTAAGTTAATAGATTCTCATTTCAATCTGGTCCCATGGACTTTACAAGTGACAAAAAGATGCTCAGGTAATTGTTAGTGAAAAAAAAAACATAATTTTAGTTGTGCAAAACAGGCATTTTCAATTCTGACTCTCCTTCAATTCTGACTTATTTTATGTTCCACAGGCATCAAATTAAAGATAAAAATAAGGTGAAAGGCTGTTCCAGAATGTCTCGGTAGGTACTGAAGTTTTCCAAAACAACAGACTGAAACTTTTAAAAAAATAATTTTCTTCACTTTTCTTTGGTTTTCTGAACAAACTTGTTCTAGAGCTAATCGTGGGTCAGTTCTTGCTTGGTACACATAAAAAGAAAATCATGGTATTTGTTGTTAAAGTAACAACATTTGATAGAAAGGGCCTCTTTCTCAATGATTTTAGCCTTGTACAAACTTTGTGTCTTAAATCTTAAACCATACTTGGATTAGCAGTGCCATTAGCAAGCAAATAGATTATGCATATACATAAAAACTTCTTTATATGCTTGCAACCTTTGAAACGTTAAAGATCATTATGCAGGCCCATAATGTGTATTTGTATTTTTGAAGATTTCCCATTTGCACCTTTTGATCAAAGCTAAGAAACTATAGTGTTTTTTGTTGTTACAGCAGATCTCTGATGGGAAGACGTTAGAGCTTAGAGATAAGCTGACTGACAAGCCTCTGAAGGTCCGTGGCCCGATGCTCGGTTGTCTTCAGCACCTCCTCATGGTTTGCTTTTTCACTGCTGTCATAATCTATCATAACCTTGTTGGTGATAAGGGACAGACCCAAAACACGCAGTCCGCAGTGACGAGCCACCACCACCTCAGGAACGGTGCTCATACCTGGACAGGAAGAACATGCTGCTATTGAAAGAGATGCAAATAGTAGCATTTCAAACTAACTACGCAGACACTTATTAGATGCTCTGAGACTGAAGCAAGGGTTGTAGATTGTACATTTTGCCACTATTTTGGCTCGAAATCTTCCCAACAAAGTTAATCTGGCTATAACTGAAATAATTAGGCTTTTCTGTCCCGCTGTTACAGACCTACAAGCAACTTGCTCATTTGCATTCTGGTAATCCTGCTTTGTGTGCTGGTACTTCCTGTTCCACAGAGTCAAAGTGCTGACCACATTTACATGCAGTTTGAATATCTCTTGTGTGCACTGTCTGTCTTTATAAAAACAAAGTATTCATATTTGTCTTAAAGTCTGTAATTAACTTAAATAAACCTCCAAAGCAGATATCTCTCGGAGGGAGCTACAGCTGTACCCACCCACAGCATCAGCCCCGAGCTTCTGCAGAGCTCTGCATTCCGCAATTGTCTCGTACGTTGGACCGGCCAGCATGCAGTAAACGCCTTCCTGGAGGAAGCTCCCACAGCCATGCTCCTCCGCTGTTTTCTTGGCCAGGGCCCTCAGCTCTCTGTCATACGCATCAGACATGCAAGGGAAACGCACTCCAAACCTGCAGGAACAGTAAATGAATGTGTCACGCTTCAGTGTACTAGGCACAATATCAGATTGCAATATGCGTTTCTGCTCTACCTTGGGTCATTGTGTCCACACAGAGGATTCTGACCAGCAAAGCCAGGCATGTTGATGTGATCCTTGATTAGCATGATGTCTCCCACACTGTAACTACCATTGAGGCCGCCCGCAGCATTTGTCACAATCAGAATTTCCACACCAAGCAGGAAGAAGACTCTCACTGGGTATGTCACCTGCAAACAAACATGATCTGCAATTCATGCTTTATTGTCTACTATGTGACGTCAGAAAAAGGAAGCATGCTGAGGACAAATCACATAAGAAGTTAATGTTTCATACCCTGAGCAAAAATGTTATTAATGTAGGTTCCTGCACATTTCAGCAACTGCTGACCTTTACAGAGCAGCTGATGGCCTATAAATGACAGCTCCTCCCCTTCATGACAGGTGTGATTGAGAATTACCTTTTTCTATTTTCTAACATATTGCATTTTCAATGAAGGCGTGTTGTTAGTTTAAGCAGAAATATTTTCTACGAGCCCTTAGATCTTGATAAGGTCAATACTGTCACTTTAGAACAGTGCCATATTCTGTTGGAGTTTTGCATATTATAAATGCGGTCTTTGTTAAGAACTTGCAGCCCACACAGGATAGGAGGTGTAGAACCACAGGATGTGTGTGTGCGGGTGTGTGTAACAACAAAATAAACTAATCTCAATAACGTGTTAAAATTATTTTTTTTAAAAATGTTTGCCTGGAGGTTTTAATACTACAAGTAGACATGCAGGAGAATTAAACTAAATAATTGAAAAGTTAATTTATATCTGTAATAAAATTTTAAAACTAAGTCTCAAAAATAGATTAATTACAAACAGTTATAGATTTGAGAAATCTGTTTATGTTAATTTTGATAATTAGGGTTCAGAGCTAGCGAAAAACAAGACGTAGCTAGGTTCTTCAGAAATACGAACATGGCACCCTCAACAAGGGGGATAATCCAGAAGGTCTTTGATCAAGAAGCTGTGTGTTCACAGAGTGTTGTGTCAAGCATATTAATGGAACGTTGAGGGAAAGGAAAAAATGAAGGTTGAAAAGGGTGCAGAAGCACCTGGCTCAGTCAGCTCCTTAAGAGTCATAAGGCGAGGACTGAGGATACAGTCAGTGCTTCTGGAGCCACTTGAACAAAAGTGTTACCTTGAAAAAAATGTTAAAGGAAAATGAGCAATACTGAGTTTAAAGCAAGTTAGTTCTGCAAGAATTCTCCCTGTGCACGCACGAGTTCTCTCCTGGTACTCTGGCTTCCTGTGTGTTTCTGTTTTGTCCTGTGATGGACTGGCGCTCTGTTCAGAATGTGTCCTGCCTTTTGCTCAAAGACAGTGGAGACTCTGCCAGGACAAGTGGGTATAGCATATAGATAGGTGGATAGATGTCACTTTGTTTTCTCTAGGGTATTTTATTTAAGACAACTGGTCAAACAACAGAAATCACAAACTGCTAGGTAAGACAGGGAGCAACCTGAATTGATGTGGCTCACCTCCCAGCCTTTTAAAATGGGAAAGGATTCCTTTTCTGAAAATCTCACGGAACACAATACATTTGCAATCCTTCACTACTATGCATTCTTCATCTGGATGGATATTATATACAGCTTAATGTGCTGTACAGGAGGCCTATAATGCATCTGTCCTGCTGGTACAGTATTCATGAACCAGAGTTTTATGATACTATCAAGTTATATGGGCTATTTTATAAGGAGATGGCACATGAAAACTGGTGGTAAAGTAAAACTAGTAGCCACGGGCCAAAGGCCAGTCTTGCACTGACATTCTGACACACAATGCACGCTTTTCAACTGATTCGTCAACGCGGCAAGAAAATTGTCAGCCAGAAATGTAGCCGCAAAAACTGCCTGTGTTTTGCCACGTTGGAAAACCAAAACATGTAAACATACGTCACAAACTAAGGATGTGATCTAACGTTTAAAGGTAAAAATAGAGATTTCTCTTGGATTATTCCAGAATTTCCATAAGAAGGAGTTCAGCTTCACTTAAAACGTATAAAGAGGAAGAGTACAAATTCCAGAATAAGTGAAGGACAGAGTTTAAAGATCAACTGCAGAGCCTGTGAATGTTTGCCGCAATGTGATTGACAAAGTCAGAGATTAAACTGCCAGCTTGACATCAGTCACCCTGGATAGTATATCATTTGCATCAGCAAGGTCTGAAAAGGAAGAAGAGGCCAATGTGCATTTGAGAATAACAAACAGCAAAGAAATAAGTGTTATGATCCTCTAGTGTTTCAGTTATTTTCTCTTTTATCATTTATTGTTTTTTCCTTATATCTTGCCAGTTTAGTTAATTNATNTTGTTAGTTTAGTATTTGTTGCTGTTTGTTCTTTGGATTTATTTCTTTGTATTAATATTTATTTCTATTTATGGATCAGGTGTTCTTTTCCCTTTGTTTCTGTTTGTTTATTCACCTCACCTACTGGTCTGCTCCCCGTCGCAGCTGTTGATTATTTCCTCATTTGCTCCTCCCCCACCTGCATCCATTTACCTGTAATTAGTTCTTCTGCTGTTTGTTTTTACTAAATTAAGACTATGCTTTGCTGCACTGCTGTCTGTTCTTGTATTCTTCTTTACTCCACAATTAATATCCTAATAATTGTTTTCATTATCTTTTTACTTGATTCTACTGTCTCTTTTATCCTGTTTAATTTCTTCTATTTTATATATTATAGTTTATCCACTGTAATACACTATGGTTAACCTAGTGGTTATTGTGAGGGGTCATAAATATATTTATTATAATTATTATTAAAATATCCTAAAATGTAGATAAGTACCAGTTAGTAATAAATGATAAACAACTTATGCACAAACTAAACCCCTAATGGGAAAAATTCAACAACCAATGCCTAAATGAAAATAAAATAGACACATTTAGAGTATGTGAAAAACAAATTAAATGCAGAGAATCTCTTTTGTTGTTATTATTATTATTATTATTATTATTATTATTATTATTATTATTATTATTATTATTAAAGGAAGCCATTTAGAAATACTGGCAGAAACAAAAAAAAAATCAATAAAAAAAACAAACACAAAACACAATCTCACTCAAAGAAACCTTGTTCTCAGAAGCACCATTCATTTGAAGCACAGGTAGCCAACGGTGCAAGAGGCTAGGACATACATTGCACAAAGACAAAAGCACAGCGTCTCAACACATTTTGAAGTTTACCGTGTGAATATTGTAGCCCTCGTAGAAGTGGAATCGACCCTGCATGCAGACACACTCATGTCCGTTCAGCTTCCCAAACACCAGCTGGCCTGCATGACCCTCCACTGCACAACACATGGACATAATGAACTGCTGCAAGGAAGCACTGCTGGTTTTTCATGAAAAGATTTGGAAGTTTGTCTAAGCCTGAAATATAGACCCTGTTTTTTGTAGAAAACCTCTGTCAATTCTCCAACAAGTAAACTGAGTTAGACCACTGAGACCAAAAAGGTAAATGTTTACTCTAATTAATGGGAGGCAATGATCTTGAACTAATTTATTAGACTGAGGTGCTGGGCTCCAGACAGTTGGAATCAGGTATGTATCGATGCCCAATTTATTTGAAGTACCTAATAAGTTTAAAGTATTTTTCAGGAGTGCGTTATGTCAGAGATATTAGATGCTTCTCCAGTTACAAATCCACAAACACACTGTGTAAAAATATTGGAAATTTAAGACTATTGCTCCCCTAACTGTGAGCTGTTGTCCAAGAAATGTCATACACACTAAAATTCAAGAGTGACCCAGCGTAACTTCTCAGCAATGGATAGCTTCCCTCGTTAATTTGAGCTACATGAAAACACTGAGTGAACCCACTTTTGCCTATGGAAATATTTTTTAATTTTAAGATCTAGTTAAGATTAAACCATTTCTTAAACTAAAAAAAAAAACAGCCTTTTAATTTGCATAAAGAAAAATGAAGGAAGACCTTCATCCCATCTGTTGAGCATGGCGGTGATAGAGCATCATGATTTTGGTCGTTATTTTTAAAACTGTAGCAAGGTGACTTTCCAAAGTTGATTGATCCATGCATACTATGAAATAAATAATTGGATATTAGAAAGGCTGGTGGAAATGACAGAAAAAACATAGTTGGTGCTTTAAGACCTTAACATCCAACCTATATTTCACCTTACAATTTAGTTGAAGAATTTTATAAAGCAGCTATAATTATCTT